TTTTTAACATATTTACCAGTCAAATCTTGCCTTTATTTGAAGGTCTATGAAATTGATTTAATATCATCCCTCTTTTTTACAAAATTTAATACTCAGAAAAGTATGGCTGAAAACTAAGCCACATATTATGTTAAAAATATTTTTAAGAGGGCCGGCCAGTTAGCTCAGTTGGTCAGAGTGTGGTGTTATAACACCAAGGTTAAGGGTTCGGATCCCTGTACTGGCCAGCCACTCCCCCCACCCCAAATTTTTAATATATATTTATATATATAAAAACATATATATATATGTGTGTGTGTAGGTGTACATACATTTTTTTTTAGAGATTTCCTCTAAACTCTAGCTTATAAGAGAAACAGCTTGACATTAGATAGAAAATAATCTGCACATGTAGTGATAATGGTCTCATAAATGAAAATGCTTTCTTTTCTTTTTTTGTGGTCAATTACTTTGTTTCACAGGGAGGTTAAATATTTTTATATCTAAAATGAAAACCCATAAAAAACACTGAAAGGTACAGTGTGTTTTAAATGAGTTTTCTTGGTTTCATAAGCTTTTCTTATTTCGCTTTCACAGAGATCTGGGAAATTAAAATTAGCATTTGAGAGTATTCAAAAATTGTTTAAATCATTGTTTAGTTGTTATGATTTACAGGTGCAGGTAAATGAAATAAATTTACCATCTGTTATGACTCAATTCTGAGAAATTTACAACACTAACAAAAAGTTGAAATACCCTTGACTTTGCAAATTAATTGGAACTTCTTTTGGAGGGAAAAATTTCTTAAACGTTAAATCTATTTCCATAAATAAATTCAAACACGGCACTTCCTTATACTAATATTAAACCATTTATGAAAAGCTGTTAACATTATTTCCCGGTAGTATAAAAAGAAGTAAAATAAAGGAGTCATTCAGTCAATATTCATGTGCTCTACTCTGCCTAAAACCATATTAGGTCTTAGTAAGATATACTCCATCCAGGAGAACTTACATCCTAGCAGAAGACATAAACCATATAACTATACAACTATACCAGAGTGTGATAAAATACAAGGGCAAAAATGAATATAAATGTACAAGGAGCCATGACAGCATGAAAGCATAAGTTGTTCTGCCTCTAATTGTCTGTAAGCTCTGTGAAGACAGGGACAATATTTATTCCATCAGTGCCAGATGATCACTAGCTCCTAGCATAGTGTCAGGTGCTCAAAAAATATCTTTTGACTAAAAAAATAAAAGAAGGCAGACTTCATACAAAAGTGACAATAGAGATGAGCACTAAAACTTGAGCAGGAGTTAAATAGACAAAAAGGGAGAAAAAGTTTTCTAGACAGAAAGAACACCTACATTTCACTGATTTACCTTAACTTCATTAAGTCGGTATTTTTACTCCAAAATGCATTTTCTGCAAGAAATATTTACTCAGCTAAATATTTCCTAAATGAATATATTAATTTTAAAATATAAAAAATAAAGTTCCAAGGACTCCAGTATCCACAGCATACCTCTCATAGGATTTTGAATAGAGTAAAGCTAAATCACAACCATCCCAAACAAAACCAAGCATAATAGCTACAAAACAATTTAGAGCCAAAAATTATGATGGAATAAAGTATACTTTAACCAAACAGCACTTTAAGTTATATTTAATCAAGCTCCATTTTAAAATTAAATTTAACTAATGAAGACAATTTTACAACAGACACACACACTCAAGAAAGAATCAAAGATTCAAAACACAGATAAAGGAATTTTATGCCTAAAAAATAGCAATGAAAGCAGTAATTAGACTAAGTCTGATACAGTAAGTTATAGCAAGTTCTGAATGTGTGACATTTTGAATCACAGTGATAAATATAAGCTGAAGGTTTGGTCAACCTACTGCAGGTTGACAAACATTTTCTTTAAAAGCCAGATAATAAACATGTTAGACTTGTGGGCCATGTAGTCTCTCACTATTTAACTCTGCTACTGTAGCATGAAAGCAGCCACAGACTACACATAAATGAATGTGTGTGGCTAGCCATGATCACAGTTTGCCAATCCTATTCGAGAGTCTCAAAATGACTTCTAATAATTCTTTTATCAAGACATCTTTACTTTCGTTCAAACACTTTCATATAAACTGTGTTAATGTTTCATTAAAGCCTCTACAGACACCTATAAGGACATCTGGCAGATATCCTCTTGTTTTATAGATTAAGAAACTGAAAGTCAAAGGGATTGAGTGACTTGACCTAAAGATTACTAGCAGAGCTGAGACTAAAACCCAGACCTTTGTTCTCTTCATAACTCTTAACCATTATCCTTCATACCCAATTCTCCAATGCCCAGTTGAAACACTTCAATCATTTTTAGAATCTTCCGCTGAATCCCTGAACTCTGTTTAGCAGACTCATCACATTCACAATAGATTTCAAGAATATCTACTTATCTGTCCATTTAAATTATTTCAATTCTGAAGTCAAATTATTCTCAAATCCTTTCTGTCTATACATGATCCCCATCTTCTTCCATTCAGGCTATCCTCTTATTCACTAGTCTCTTAAAATGTTACTTAATATTCAAATAGCCAGCAAAAAAAGTGAACTCAATAATATAAATGAGATAAAAGACCTGGTGCCTGCCTTTGCAAAGCTTATAATCTAGTGAAGAAATATCAGATGCATAAATATGAAGCTAAGGAACAACTCCATGTAACCCATGTCAAATCTAAAAAAATTATAACAAAGAAATAAAAAATGAGAAAGTGTAATTTACAGCATACTTTGTCATTAAATACATGCCTTATGTGCTGCTATGGTCATAATACCCTGAATTTTGCATAAGTTTCATAAATATTAAATTAACCACAAACACCTCATTAACATGGTCCAAAAGTTAAAACTGGATCACGTTTTTTAAAAATTATATTTTAGAATACTGGGGTTTTTTTTCTATTTTACTCTAGTCATCACCATAAAAAAAAATTATATTGGACTAATTCCCTGGCCAAAAACAACTATTAAAGATAGACAAAATAGGGCCGGCCCGGTGGCGCACTGCTACAGTGCGCCGCTTGGGAGCGCGGCAGCGCTCCCGCTGTGGGTTCGG